CAACCCTTGATCCAACGTCCCCAAAAGTACCAGCACGCTTGGCCCTCTCAAGGCCGACCCCTATGCATCCGAGCCTCAGGTAAGGAGGTGCGGGCACGCGTCGGAGGTAGCTAGATCCAGCGATGGCAGCGCCTACAAATGGCAGTTGCCGTAGCCCAATTGGCCTTGCAGATTCATGGGCACCACTGCCCGTCGTAATTGCCTGCCAGACAGTAGGGCACAAATTCAGTTGCAGCATGGCATGTTCTAATTCAGTTTAATTCATGTGTCCCTGCCAAAGTTTGCAACCTCCTGGGAGCAAATTTGAGCGACCCGCGTCGCACTGGATCAAAGGCAGGCACTTAAAAGCTTTGGCGTCGGCCTGCGTGGATACAATACATTGCTACTCATGGAACATCATTGAAAATGCCATGTGCAATCCCTTAGTTTGAGTCATTATTGCATTGTAGACTTTTGTTCTTTAAGCTGACCCGCTGTTTGGGCGGTCTTTTGGTCTTGACGATAGGGATCTTGGATTGTGACAATCACATGTCATTTTTTGGCCAGGATTCGACCACGACGTGTCCGCCAGGTTCCAACCAGCTCACTCCGGCGGATTTTGGCTTCAGGGGTGCTGACATGCTGAGCTTCGAATCGGAAGACCCGGCAGTATTCAATTTGGGATTGCCAAACAGCAAATGCAGAACCAGCACGAGACAGCTGAGACTTTCATTGTCTCGGTTCCCCAGCGTGGTGGGCCGCCCATGCTGTGCGGGACTTGAAGGGGGCCAGCTTGTGCCATTGCACGTGGGAGACACTTGCCAAAGTGACATGTAACTAGCAACTGCATCTATTCAACTTGGTGTACCAGTAGTACAATTCGGCCCATTCCTTCTATACGGCTTGTTCTGGCTGTGACAGTCACCGGGACATATTGGGACTGGCGTCACATGGGAGCTTTTAAAAGGGACATTTCCTCGCGGGCGTCCTATTCAAAGGGGCCATGGCTATGCAGCGCACCAGGAGTTTCAGCGTGGCAAATTTGAGGCAATCGTCGGCCTCCGTTGGACCAAGCCGCAGTTGGAGCAGAACGCCGTGATTTTCATTGAAGCCCTTTTTGGTATCCCTTTCAAAGGGCAGCACCGACACCTACCGGCGGCAGGTCCCAAAAGGGTCCAAACTGTTGACAGCTCAAGGGCAGGCCAATCGCCGCTTTGAAGGCTGGCCTTTGTAGCTTTGAACAGGACCCCGAGAGCGGCATAGGGCCACCACTTCATTTGCTCGCAGAAATATGGCAAAAAAAAGATGCTTGCAAGCACTGGCTCAATAGAAGCGTTGCTTTCATAGAAACACTGCACTTTCGGCACACATTGCGACAAGTCACCTTGTCGCAAAGACTCAGATTCAGTTGCTAAAAAGGCGATTGCAGGCACATTCCAGGTTTTTAGCCGTGAGACAAGCAGTCAATCCAAACAGCAGGTAAAGGGCATCACAGAAGCTCTTTGAGCTTGAATGTCTCTGCATGTGTTTTTTGTGCAAGGCGATGTTGCGATGGCTTCAGGCAGGCTGCAATGGTGGCAAGTATGGCCTGTATGGCCTGTTGCAATGGTGGCAAGTATGTTCTTCGGCTCGCGAAAGCGGAGTCGAGGTCCTCTCAAGACGGTAGCCTTCGCTGTTGTTGGAAGGTTTTTTTTTGTTGGTTCTGTTTGTTTTTGTTCAGCTTCCCCCTACTTGGTGGTTTGGTTTGGTGATTTGAGGATTTGAACCCCTGGTTGTTGTTGCCCTCAACCACCAAACGACCCATCCAAACCGCCAAATTAGAGGGAAGTTGATTTAAGGCCGGTTTGTTGCAAGCCCATACAGTTTTAATTGAACAATTAAACCGGCGAGCTCCGCCAGGCACTTCTACACGCGTCGCCTGCTGCTCTGCGACTGGAGAGTCCTTGAGCGTTTTTGTGGGGAGCAACTCTTTTTGGGGTGAGGTTAAAGGGCAACAAAGTGAAAGCCCACCACTCTTGAGCGTCCAAATCCCGTTTTGAGACAGCACCACCTTGAGCATGAGTTTGCTTTAACGCAACAAGTGTTGATCAAAGTTGCTGCAACTTGGCGTGACGTGCAACGTTGATTTGATCCACGGCTCTGTTTTTAGTTTGCCCGAGCCGCAGCGACCAAAAGACGTCCGATCCAGTGTCAAGGACCTGCGAACAGAGAGCACAAGGGACTCTAAGATTCACATACTCTGTATGATTGCGAAATCCGTTCGCACCGCGAAATGGGAAACCATGGTTAACATCAGAATCATAACGTTGGTCGGTTGGGGAATCGAATCAGAAACCAGGGTTTCTGAGGTGCGAAATGGATTTCGCAACCATCCACAGCTTGATTAGGATGAGAGCACTAGACAACCATGATCATTCAGACGGAAGTCTATTAGCTACCTGGAGTCTCCATGACCCTTGAAAAATGGGGTCATTACCCCCCAAAAAATTGGGTCATTGACCCATTTTTAAGGGGTCATGGAGACTCCAGGTGGTATATTCTGTCTCCTTCGATTTGGGTTTCCTCTCGGAGATGCTGAGGCAAGTTCTCAGCCAGGACCTGGTCCGCGAGGCGAAGTCTGGCGTTTGCCTTTGGTCTCGGGCTCCAAGCAGACAGGTCTTTCAGGGCACTCCACTTGGATGTTCGATTCGCCAAGTTAATAAGTGATCAGCCGCCTGGGTTTAATGGGGTTAATCCAGTCATTTGTGGGTCATAACCCAGGTGGCTGACCACTTACTTACTTGGCCGAACATCCAAGCATGGGTCCTTTGAGACACCCTGTAAATACCAACCAACGTTATGGTTGCAACCATGGTTTCGAAATGGTGCAGGATATCGTCCATCCACATGATTGAGTCTTGAGATGCATTTGTGTATTCTGAGCTTTCGAATGTGGCACAACACTCGTGTTGCTTGCTGCCTTTGCGGCCATGAAACGTCAGACAGGCTCCGTCTCTCAGACACGTTCCCGGCGTGCAGCTTTAGGCTTGACCCAAAGAGAGTGTCAAGTTTCTGTATGCAGCACCTCTCAGATGTGAAGTAGTCATGAGAAAGAGAGAAATCTAACTCATATCGCTTGACTCTCTAAAAAGCTGACTTGGTCGACTTGTTGATTCGTGATTGCATCGCTAGCACATCAGGCATGTTCTCGCTTCCTATCTCCAAAGGACGCCTTACTAAGTAGAAGACTGACGTTTCGGCCATTTATTTTGCAAGTGTCACCCAATCGAAAAGAACTTGGCAGCACGATTGCTAAGCATGCAATGGCCAAAGTTGAGAAATCTAGCCACTGTACAAGCATAGCACCTGGACCACAGACCACCCCCTCACCAACCCCAAGGGGCCTCGTTCAAAGAGCCCCAGTTGCACGGCGCAGCCAGTTGCCGCCCCATGGCGGTTGATCGGCCAATCGGATGCAGAGGCCAAGTACATTTTGCTGTCAACTGGGGGGCACAGTTAATCCATGCGAAGTCTCCGTCGAAGGAACACGTCACATCAATGGCACTCAAACAAACCGGCAGTTTTCCTCCCTGCGCGCAATAACGATAGTACCCATCAAGAAGAATGAGGATTACACCCATGTGCGAATTCTTGCGCAAATGCCGATGCCCCGCCCGAGCAAACAGACTGCACGTGGTTATTGATTCAGGCTGCCATGCAAGGAAGAGAAGCACAGGCACATGAGCCTTTCCTTGCATGGTGGTTTGTCGATGCTTCCTGCGTAGATTCCGGTAGGTCATGCAGACAAGTTGTTTGTCCTTTCTTCCACAACTGTTGAAATGTTCTGCAAAGCCGCACGCCATGATGGTCTGGCACCATGCAACTGTGTTTGAGCAGCTTGAAATTGAGCAGCGTTCTGTTGTGACGGCGGGGAGTGTTCGGAGCGGGGCAGCTTTGAACCCTGTTAACTTCGAGGGTTTGTCCTACTTCAGCACACTGGGGCTCACTCAACAGGGTTTTGGGGACTCTTCTCTCAGCATCATGTTCAGTCAGCATGTTTGCCATTTAATTTGTGCCATGGTGCGTGTTCGCTTTCATGTACTACCAAAATCTTCCCAAGTATTGGCTCCCCTTGTGTTTTTTGGCTTTTGTGGGGTCCCATTTGTTTCCCACTAAGCGGCAAAAACTCTAGCTTTTTGCTGGGGTTCTATTTCCAGCCAAGGATGTTGGATGTCTTACTCTTGGAACTTCGGTTGTGTTTCTACTATTTAGCCAACACCCAAATTGCACACCAGAGCTTTCGCGAACTCGTTTGGGTTTGTGTTGTAACTGCTGCGCACAATTATTGCAACTTTGGGCATTGTGCTCGACAAGTGCTATAGAAAGGCTGTCATGGCACATACAATGTGTATTGCACTTGTTTTAGGAGCACATATATGAAGGATTAGAGACCCCGGAATACATATTCTCGATCAATCTATTCAAAATGAAAATATTCCAGATATAATATTGTTGTGTCATTGTCTGGCAGTAATGCACAATGCCTGCAAGAGATTTAATAAACCTTAAACATGTTGTAGCACACACACACACACACAGAGTCACTGAAGTCCATGTAAAACAAAAAAGATGCCAGTCAAGCGGAAGTAGTCTATCTACTATTTGGCAAGCAGACCACATAGACACACACACACACACACAAAAGCACGGATTGACACATGTTCTTACGACATCGAGGTCCATACGCTCTCCAGGCACGTCATGGGCGACTGGCCCGCTATGGGGTACCCCTGAAGGTTTGCTTTACAAGACCAACGAATCAGTGCTTTGTTCTGCAGAACCAAGCTGACATGACTCCTTGACACCCCCTTTATCCCGCTGAAGGAGAGAGGTAATGCCTTGCAGGTGCAGGGCTTCATTTTGAGTTCTGCTGGTTGCAAAGCAGGCAACATGCAAAACACCTTCAAATGCCCACCTGACGCTGGACTGCGCACGCACTGCTGGCAGTGGCAAATGCGGGGACCGCACACACGCACAGGTGAATGTCCAGCCAGATCTGGTCATCACCTCGCACTGACTACACCAGCAGCCTGTCGGAATTTGAAAGCTGCTTGGGACCTTGACGGAAATAGGCAGAGGAATTGCCAATTAAGCTTGAAAAGGCTGGAAGACATTTTGGCGTGTGCCCTGAAACTTGCTTCGGATCTCCTCTTGGTTTCCCTTCAAAAGCACTCAAACAAGGGGGTCCACCACAAATAACAGACCCCATTTGCTCGAGAATTGGGTGCCCCCCAATCCCCAGTCGTACGAACAAAAGCGCCAACCCTGCCGGGTTTTTCCGGGTCCTTAATTTCAATCCACATGGCTGTGGGTCAAAACCAATGGGATCCCATTTTGGGGGTTTTCGGTGAATTCACCACCCATTTTAGGCTTCCTATTTTAGTGGTTGGATTGGGTCCCGTTCACTGCGGGGACGGGATTTTGGATTTTGACCCATGGCCACATCTGGCTGTGGCTCAAAAAAGCCGTACCAAAATGGAACCCTGGTAAGTGGAAACATGGACCAAAACCTGCGTAACCCCTCCTGTTTAATTTTGAGCCACACCCATCTCGGTCCACATCTCCGGTTTGCCTCGTGCTCACGAGGCGTGGACGCGGAGGCAATGCCACGCTCCCTCAGAGCCGAGGCCGAAGCGTGTGAGCCCAAAGAGTCTTGGTGCAATGAAGGGACCCGTTTCACTTGAGCTGACTGCTGGTTCTAGCATGGTTGGTAAAGATTTATATAGACGTTTTCTTGTGCTCCGAAATTCAATCAGGAAATTTGGTAGAGCCCAGTTGGCAAGATAGCAAGTTGTTGGCAATCGACGTTATAACCCGTTTCTAATTAGGGTGTTTCCGTCCTGCCTTTGAAGAGTGATTAGATTGACCATTGCAGCTGGTTTCGTGGTGCAATGAATTACGTCATACCAGTGCTCGTGCAGCCAAGTGGATAATAACCATATGATCCACAAATGCCATGGTTACAAGTGTCCGTCCCGCGGGTTATCTCGCCAGCCTTACTAACCACTTGCCGGACAAACCGAATCGATCGCCCCTTGAAGTCACTTGCTGGTTTGATAGGCAGGGAATGAGAAATGGAATGGCCCCGAGAAAACCATCCTCGATGTGGTTTCCTAGGGAACAGCCTTCCGGCTCATTCCCAACATCCGGAACGCTCATTCCCTACCTATGGCACCAAGGCGAGTCAGCTTTGGGTTGGTGGTTTGAATTTGGATTTGGAGTTGAACCCCTTCTCGTACAGCCCAGTGAACTGGAAGTTATATACCTCCATGTGCAGAACCAGCTTGGCTACCTGCCATGTTGGTATCTGACCGCTGGTTCCAGGAACCACAAAATAAGGGCCCGCAACCGTGAAATTGGGGCCTGGAACCGTGAAAAAGAGGCCCGGAACCGTTAGACTGGAATCTGGTTCTCACTTTTTTGGGAACAAAGCCTGGTTCCCAAAAAACAGTCGCCAACGGCCAGGTACTAGCTACACAGGTTACTAGGAGTCGCTGGGCAGGGTAGATGAGGTTCCCCCCCTTGGAAGATCACCTTACCACCGATTCGGCTCCAAACCACGAATTGGGAGGAATCTTTGCTTAATATATTTGTTTTTATTGTTTTCCCCCTTTGGCTTACGGAATTTGTCACTACTGGGATTATGTCCATTTGTAAAAGGTGATCTTAAACATGGTATCCTCAAATTTCAGCGAGCCTGGGGGGTGGTACAGGCCTCGGATATCGCACGCAGCTTGCTGCCCTGGTTCTTGGCCGTGCTGCTGGGTGTGCTGACGGCCATCACAGGACGGGGGACCTAGGCTTAGAGTCTTGCCATGCTGGGCTTCCGAGCCATGTCCCTGTAAATTTCAGGGAAGCAGCAAAAATCGCCAGTTCCACGGAAGCCACCGGTAAATTGATCAAATGTTGCTGCGTGCTTCGTGGAGAGGGTTTTGTCTGAGGCAGTTGCATCGCCTTATTCTCCGACTTCCTCGGGGATGTGCGCTTTGGCTTCTGCCGCGGCATTTTGCTGGCTGACCGCAACAGATGTTGTGGAGGCTCAGAGAACGTGGACTTCGCAAAGGAAACGTGCCCTGGATGATATGCCTTGACTGGATGTGGTAGTCGGACCGATGTGCTGGCACCGGACACACACACACACACACACACACACACACTTGTAGACCAGGGACTGTGGCATTCATGGAATGGATGTGTCTTTTTTTGGGTACCATTTCTGTTTCGTGGTTTTAAAGGACAGCCAGAAAGGAAAACAACAATTTTGCGGGGTCCCCCAAGAAAAGACGCGCCCACGGCCATGGCAAACGTAAAGTACTTCAAGGGGAACAACATCGGCCATCGCTCAGCGCAGCGGCCATGCATGCAGCTGGCTGAGGTGCCACCAGCCTGCGTCGCTTGCCTTGAACAGTGAGAGGGTTTCTCTTGCGTAGAACGCATTTGGGAGTTGGACCCCAAAATGGTACCCTCTTTTCAACAATCATGGAAGTGGACAGAAAAGTTCCCCAAAGGAAAGTCGTCTTCCGAAGCCCTTTTATCAGCTTCCGTGATTGTTGGAGGGCGGGTAGGTCTTCCTTTTGGTTTCCCTTTACAGCCAGACAAAAAGGGGTACCAACTCCAAAGAAGACAGCCATTTTCAGTGAGCGTAGGGGTGTTTCCCATGTGTGTGCAGGATCGGCGACGATGGAGTAGCCTGGATCCCTTGGGCAAGTCTCTTTGAGTTCAGCGGCAGCGGGTTTGTGCTGCCGTGGCTCATGTACGTGATTGCCTCAGTGATGCTTCTTGGAATTTGTCTTGGCCGGATGCGATTCAAGCAGGTTATGTTTGGTTCAAGGGTACGCAAAAGTTCGGACTTGTGTTAGGTTTAACTGTTTGGTCAGCTTGCGGGACCGATGATGTAAAATAAACCCACAACTTCGTGATTGTCGGGAGCCCGCAACTGTTGCCTCGCATGAGGTAGAATAGCGTTTGTCTAGTTGGAGCATGTTTCCAAGGTCAACCCACCGCTTGTCGACACTTTCAAGTAGAATTACCAATCCCTCTTTTCTCCTCCGTATTCGCCGTGTGTGCAAATGCTGTCTCCGTTTTCAACCTACATGCTTCTGGAGACTTGCACCAGCTTTGCTTTTGCTTTGCTTTGCATTGCTCGCCTTGCTTTGTTGGCTTTGTTTGCTTGGCCAAGAAACTAATTCAAGCCTGCCTCACCTTGAGTTGCTGCAATGCGAATCCTAGATTGATAGTCTTCCATTTGTGACAACGGCAGCAAGGTCAACACGATCAAGCAATGGAGGTGGCACATGTTCCTCAAACGAGTTCGCTGGGCAAGGCTTTTTTTGACTTTAGATTTGAGATGCCTGAGCAAAATGAATGAAGTTCGGCTGCAGCTTGCATGAGCAGGGGATGAACAAGGGCAGCATTGACGTGTTTGTTTCAATTTTGGCGGTTACTTCCCTGTCTTGCAGAATGCCCAGACTGAAATATGATGTCTTATTTTGCAGGCACATTTTTCGCTCACAAAACGGCGGTACAGAGCATTGGGCTCGCTTGCGTGGGAGAAAACTTAGAGGACATCGTCGCGTGTTGATCCCAATCATTACGGCGACTGAAAGCTATGATCAGGTGGGCCTTAGTTGGTTTGGGGAATTGAACCTTGGCTCTTGTAGAGGGATGGCAACTGCCAATCGGAGGGCAGTTGAAACCATTGTGGGTTGGTATTTATTTGGGAATCGAGTCATTCCGTTGGGTTTCTTGGGTCAGGTACTTGAACCCCTGCTTCTTGTAGAGGGTAAATGGAAAACTACCTAGAACACCTCCCACCGATTCGGCTCCAAACTGCAACAAGCACGGGAAGTTCCAAGCCTATGACTATGAACAACCACTTTGAAACCAGGGTTCAAACCATTACGTTTGGTAATTATTTACTAGCTAGGTGGTTTCCTCTTGGTTTCACATCCCAACTTTGGGAAGCTCACTCGGCCTACTGTGGATGGACGAAATCCTGCACCACCCAAGAAGCCCTGGAATGGTCTGATTCCCTGTAAATACCAACAAACAGTGCTTTCAACCATGGTTTCTTAGCTGGCGCGAACGGATTTCGTCCATCCACAGTGTGAGTTGCTTCGGCCTTTCACCTCCAAACCAGGGAAGTTCCCTCCCCTCGGCCCATGAGTCACTGTCACTTTTCCGGGGCTTCTTGGGTAGTTTGGGTGGGTCGGGGGCACCTCCTCCTCCAAAAACCCCCAGCTCCATGCTTCAGGTTCTCGGGCCTGGCGGCGTATCTGGTCTACGAGTACGCGCCCACGGCCCGGGGCAGCGGCATCCCGGAGGTGAAGGCGGCGGTGTCGGGCTACGACCTGCCCCTCACCTTCTCCGGCAGCTGCCTGCTGATCAAGGACCGGGGAAGCAGAAAATGCGGGAGGGGGGGGGGGCGGCATCAAAGTGGGGGGGCACCAAAAAAAATGGCCACCCGCCGAAACCCAGCAATTCCAGGGGTTCCGTCATGTTCCTTCAAAGGGAACCAAACACTGGGGCACCAAACACCGGCCAGAATCAGCCGAAACCCATCAAAGCCATTTCATTTCAGGGTGTCCGGGGCATCAAGGCAAGCCACCAGCAAAATGGGGGATGTCTTACGGCGGTTCCCAGCGAACCGTCCGGTTCCGTAGGTTTTTAGGTTTTTAATTGGTTTAGTGGGGGTTTCCATTTATCCCACAAGTTAAACTTTTAGCAAGAGGACAGCCCAGACCACGCGGAGCCATGCCTCAAAATGGGGGCCCCAAAAATGGGGGAGCTTTGCTTAGGGTGTCCGAGCCATTTGCGGTTTTTGGGGCCTTCAAAACACAGTTGCAAGGGAAACCACCGGTAAAATGCAACTCCTCCATGTCCTCTTTTTACTGCCGCCTTCTGAAATCATGAGGCACGTACCGGAAGAACCCTCACGCGAGCACCACAAGTAGGGTTTGAGCCGAGCAAACCCAGATAAGGAGGGTTCCAGTGAAGACTCAACGGGGGGGGTTAAAGGGAGTCTCACAACCACTCTGCTTGTTGATCCTTCGTTCGCGATGTTATAAATGGAGAGGAGTCAACACCACTGTTGGGAGTTCATCCAATCTATCTCCGGTGGGGAAGCCTCCAACTTAAGGCGGGAAGACTTCTCAAAGATCTGTGAGATGCATATACGACATCTCAAAGAGAGTCCCATATATATATATATATACATATCCAGAATATTACGAGTGCTCAAAGGTAAATATGTGATATATATATACATATATATATATATACATATATATATACACATATATATATATATATACAAAGACCCCCTATTTCATCCATCCTGGCACGATGCCAAGGTTTGGTGGTGACGGGACGGGTCTCGGACGGGCGTTCAGGGTTTTCTTAGCAGGTGACATTGAGTTTAGGTTCAACAAATGAGAATGCCTTTTTTTGATCCCCCCTTTGTTGACTGTGTGAAAGGGAAACCAATAGGACAGCCGAGGCCATTTTGGGGGTCCAAATTTAAAAGAAAGGCGCCCAAATGGCACAAAGAGCAGCCGGATGCAGCTGCCTATTTTACAGCGAGCATAACGAGCTCACCATGATAAAGAAGATCCTTTAACTCTGGTTTTGTCAATTTTGGTAGACTTTGGTTCCCCAATGATCGTCCCATGTCTTGTTCGACCCTTGGATCAAGCGCCTAGTTGTGGCGCCCGTAAATCAGGCGCTGGGCTTGAGCCTGGTGGTGGGGGCGGGCCTGTCCTTGGGCAAGGACGGGGTCGTGGAAGTGGGCGGCTCTGGTTTTTTCCCCAAAAATGAGTCAGCGGGTTTTCTTGTGGTTTCCCGGATATTCTGCTTCGGTCGGAGAAAGAAGCAATGCCCTTGACTGACTGCGGTAGATTTCCAATGGTTTCCAGAGTAAACCAATTAATCCATATTCGGAATGGTCCCTTTGGAGCCATTGATCCACTTCACTGTTGTTGTCATGTTTTCATGTTTTTAGTTTTGTTTGGTTCTCTTCTTTTTTAGGAGGCTGCGAAAAGAGCATATATTTTTTGCTACCCTATCGTTTGGCGTTTGGGTTGGACAGTCCGTGTTTTTTTTCCTTTTGAGCCGGTGCTCCGGTCCTGGGGTTCTCCGGAGTTCCGCCGGTCAGGAGGGCCCCCTGATCCACATCGGGGTTTGCATCGCCTCCTTCTTGCAGCGGATTTGTGGCGCACTGGGCCTCAGAAGGGCTGGCATGCCCTTCCATGAGCTCCTCGATTCCGGAAAATCCGAGCAAAATGGTTGCGGGTTGCGGGTTGCGGGTTGCCAAGGGGGGGGGGGGGGCGAGCGGTGACCAATAAAAGCAGAGCCTCCAGCAACTTGGGGATTTGAATTTTGGTTCTGGAGGGTAAATGGAGAACCATCCCACCTCCAAGCCAATTGGAGGGCAGCAAAGCTATGAGGAAACCAACCACTGGAGAAAAAAGGGAAGCCACTCTTGACCACAGAACCACCGGGCTCCAAACTACCAATTGGAGGGAATCAAAGCTGTGGAGTATGAGAAAGCACTTCGAAACCATGGTTGAAATCACTTGCTTGGTATTTGTACGTTGATTGAGTTTGAATCGGAAGCCGTTGGGTTTCTTAGGTCAGTCAGGTTGGCGGTTTGGATTGGTGGTGGATCAGGTTTTTTGTCGGTTTCTGGGGGTTAAAGTCAGAATTCAAGGGAAGGCGAACTTTGATCACGGTAAAGTTATGTGGCGGTTACGGCGGGTGATGTCCACCAACTCAGGAGGAACCCGTTTCGGTTCAACTTGTCGATTCCAATAATATACAAGAATGGCAACCAAGGGGACCTGAAGGGTAAACATTGGTGGTGAAATATCAACCCAACCATTGTTTTCATGGTGGTTGGAACCCGAGCGGGAAGCAAAGAGCTTGCCATGACTAGAAAGTGAAAGAGACAAGCACGCTGAAGTTGGTCACTTGGAGAAAGCAACTCCAGAAGTTACCTTGCTTTGACATTTGTGATCTAATCAGAAGCAGGCCTGCACGCGCTCAGGGCTCATGTGAGCCACATTCAAAACCCGGGTAAGTGAAGGTTGGTAAGGGACGATCCCAGCCATAAATAGCTGCGGCCGCCTTCTGAATTCTTTACATGGTTTTGGGTCGACCCGTTTTGTCCCGGGTTTTGAGCAAGTGACTCATGTGCCTCTTGGCTTGGGAATGGGTCTACCGGGTCGGCTTGCTATGCGCTTCCGGACCAAGGATGGCTTGCCTGGGCGCAGCCGCCGGCGTGTCCACCGCCTTTGGGGCGCCCCTGGGCGGCGTGCTGTTCGCCGTGGAGGAGCTCGGCTCTGTGAGGCGCGGCCTGCGAAGACATTTGCCCATGGGGCATAACCTATGGGGGTGGATGAACACCCATTTACCATCTATGTTGATGTTCTCCAGGGGTATAGGGTTTTGACCCACATCCATTTCAGTCCGGTTTGTAGCGGCTCTAACGTGATACCACCAATTGGAGGGAAGCAAATTGCTATGAGTCTATGAGTATGATGGTTGAAACCATTGTTGGTTGGTATGTAAGTTGGGGAATTGAATCAGTTCGTTGAGTTTCTTAGGTCGGGTAACCCTTAGTTGGTGGTTTGGATTGGTGATTTGGGGATTTGAACCCTGGTTCTTTTAGGAGTAGATGGGAAACCCCTCCTTAGTCACCAACCCACCCCAATCCAAACCACCAATTGGAGAGAAGCTGAACTATTTAAAAGTCGAAAGCACTATGGGGCTGGAATTCATGATGCGATTGAGAGCTGCCTGCGCGTAAACAGGCTGGGTGTGAACTCCCTGAGTCTTGACATTGAGACAAGAAACATTCGTGCTAACTGGTAGGCGGAGAGTTTGGGGGGAGACAGGAGCTACAATGATAATACATGTGTTGACTTCTTTGCAATTGCCAGCAATGGTGTATTAAAATCATATTAATACATATATATATATATATGTACCAGTCCCTGGGCCACGTACCCCCCCCCCCCCCACACTCCCCGGGATAATGCTGGCAATGCTGGGGATGCTGTCCAGTACCGTGCGAGCCCTGCAGCTTCGGTCCCAGACCCCCTTTCACCCCGTGAACCAACACCCCCGCACCCCTCGCAACATCCTACCCTAAACCAAACCACCCTGCAACCCCCCTCCTTAACCCCAACCCTAAGCCTAAATCAACCCAAACCCCAAACCCACCCGAAACCCACCGCAAACCAACCCTGAACCAACCCTGAACCAACCCTGAACCAACCCTAAACCAACCCACCAAGCCTCAACCAACTCCGAACCACACCCCAACCACCCCACCACCCCACCACCCCACCAACCCACCACCCCACCACCCCACCACCCACACCACCCCCACAGGGGGGGGCGGGGTTGGCCCAACCACCCAACCACCCCACCACCCCACCACCCCACCACCCCACCACCCCACCACCCACCCACCCCACCCCCAGGGGGGGGGGGGGGGGGGGTCCACGGCCTGGAACATATATATGTATACACATGCATCTACACAGGATGCATGCACAACAGGCCTCTCACAGCTGGTTGTAGCATCCAGCCCCCTGCACACAACTTGTGCATGCCCGCCTTTCCGCCAGGAGCCTTAGCCAACGAACGCTGCTGCTGGCCTTCCTGGCAGCATTTGCGGCGAGCTTCACACTCAAAGCCCTGACCCTGAGCTGCAATGAGATTTTCTCACCTCCGGAGCTCCTGGATGTTTTTCGTTTTTTTTTGGTGCTTGGACCGTTTTTTTTCGCGGTAAGCGCATGTTTTTCAGACTTTTTTGGGTCGGTCCACTTGGGAAGTGAGTGTTGGGATGTTCGGCCCTGAAGCTTGTCTTGACGACACCTGTATCGAATGCCACGACTCGCAGCTTTCAATTGAGCCACAATCAAGCCCCAGTTTAGGAAGGGATAATCCCAGTCATTAATAGGTGCGGATATTCGACCTTTGAATTATGTTCATTGGTTTGGATGCACCGCTTTTGATTGTGACTCAGTTGGAGGGAAGCAACGCTATGAGTCTGATGGTTGAAACCATTGTTGGTTAGTATTTACGTTGGGCAATCAAATAATTTTGTTGGGTTTCTTAGGTCAGGTAACCCCTAATTGGTGGCTTGGATTGGTGGTTTGGGGATTTGAACCCCTGGTTCTAGTAGAGGGTAAATTGATCCGCTGTTGATCCAAGGAATCTCACGGGAGCCAACAGCCTGACCTTGTTTGCCCTGTCGCTGCCCACGCACACTGCACGCAAGGAGTGGATTGCCTGGGCCACTTGGCTAAAGCGGCACAGGAAAAGCTGGGGAACCAGGTGCTTGTCATTCCAAGATGAACTCAGAAACGGAGCAAAACTGCAAAATTGTTGTTTGACAGCATGCTTGCTGTTGTTAGTCAAGCTGTTGACTTTGCTCGTAACTCACACGATGTGGCCCCTTGTTCTTGCGAAGTTGCGATTGGGTTGCGACTAAGATTGATAATCATCACGTTGGGACGATGTACGTTAGGAACCCGCTTGGTGTCAGAGATCAAGAGGGGTCAGATGAATGTTGATAGCGTGCCACAAGGAAGAGCACAGCTTAGCTGGAGCTTTGGCATTGCTGTTGTTTTGCTTCTCTTGGGCACATTGACAATTAGCCCCGAACCGCCCTGGCCCTACCCCAGAGTTTTCGAAATATGCCAAGGGAGCAGTCACCATTCAGCACATCCTTTCAGAATCACTGGCTCTTTCAGCTCGCCGATGATTTTCAAATTGGTTTTTGTCACGGTGAACTAAGTGTTGTCAGGGCGACCTCATTGATACCCTCGCCGACGTTACTCGTACCCAAGGACATCTTTGCTTTCTATTTTACCAGGGAACCCCATCTAATTTACCTTCAAGGACTGACCTATGCGCCTGAAGCTGCGAACCGAGCGTGGCCAAAGCCCCCGAGGAAATGTTTGCTTTCTTCCTGACGGGGGTCATCGGGGGCCTGGGCGGGGGACTCTTCGTGATGGCCAACATTTGGTGCACCTCGCAGCGCCGCCAGGCCGGGGCTTGCGGCCGGCGATTTTCGCAGACTTAGCACATGGGACAGGGGTTCGGAGCCAGGTTCCTTTAAACGGAACCTACAAAAGTGGCAGTGTCAAGAAGAAAAACCGCCAGGAAATTGATGAACTGTTGGAGGGGAAATACAACAAAGCCTGTTTGGTAGCATGGCCTGGGAGGGGTTTTCTACACCTGAAGGATCAGTTGTAGGTATGTGTCAAAACAGGCCCCTCAAAATGGCTTCGGATTTCCTTTTGGTGTCACTTAAAAAAAATGCCCCAAAAAGTGTTCCCCGCGAAAAACACAGTCCCGTATCCTTTTGAAGGGACCTAGTTGCCATGTTAGCGGGAAGGAAATCAGAGCTCTTGTGCAGCACTTCTAGGGTCTCAAGAAAATTGCCCCAACTAATCCTAGATTTCAACACGGCCAAGACTGAGATGCTAGAAAGCCTCGGACAGCAGAGTTGCAGGCTTACCAGTTCGCTGCTTGCATGGCTGTTAGCAGTAGACAGGCAGGCATTGATTCATTGCCGCGAGCTTCCGCTTGATAGGCGCTGAAGCAAGGGCGTCTCTGGTTTCTGCCAGAGAGCATCGTCTCGGGCAAGCAACGGGGCACACTGAACGTGCTGGAGTGTGACCTGGCCAAATGTGGAGCGCTGAGTGCTGAGTCTCGGCTCCCTGCAGCGACGGAAGGTGGTGCAAGGTACTTGGATGTTCGATTCGCCAAATTAGTAAGTGCTTGGGGGCGTTTTTGACCCACTTATAACAGGGTTACCCCAGTCATGTGCGGGTTGTAACCCAGGTGGCTGGCCAGTTAGCTCGGCCGAACATCCAAGAAGGCTGAAGGATTGTTTCGATTGGCGGCTTCCCCAGCCCAATCAAACCGGTTCAGGTAGATGCAGGTTAAGGGATACTGGAACCTGTTCGTGGCATATGTTTTGGTCTTTTAGTTTTTTGGTTCTGTTCATTTTTACTGGGGGGTCTGCAACAAAAACACAGTGTTTTTTTTGCGACCATACCATACGAGTAGAGATGGATAGTGGAACCTTGTGTGACTTGAAGGGTCTTTGCCGTATGTGGCATGGCTGAAAGGAAGGAACCAGCAACCATGGTGCTCTCGTGCCGAGGTATCTTGATTGCTTTGGTCACCTCCATGCTGAGCTTTCCTTTCACGCGGCTACTGCGGACCCTCTCCACAGAGGCCATACATGCGCTCTTCGAGACCTGCCCCAACGATCTGCCATTCCACCTGGGGCTTTGCGACCCCTCCACCGGCAACTTGTCAAACATGAGCCTGTCGGCCAACATGACGCTCTTTGCGGCGGCCGTGATACGCCTCATACAGACGACCTACACCTTCGGTGCGGCAATTCCCTCTGGGCTGTTCATCCCTTCTTTGCATCTTAGCTGCACGTGCTGTGCCTGTCTCGAGCTGGGTCCCAGCAGCATGAAGGCAAGCAACTACTGGAGAGTGCGAATATCTGCCACTGGATCTCTATGGATCTCTGTGAGATCAGGCAGAAAGTGCATGAACAACTCTGATCTGCTTGCCAAAGGGCAAATTAGTTTACGTGTCCGTTGCTAATCCGATCAGCAAGCACGATGTAGCTTGGCGCGCCTTCAAAACCTGCCTAAATATGGCCGAACCAGTTATGAGTTGAAAACTATTCGTTGGCCTGTTCGCCCGTCCACAGGTATGTGGGCGCCACCTTGGGTCGTTTGATCGGCAACGTCATCAGCACTGTGGCCAGCTCGTTGTCGCCCTTCCCGGTGCACATCGAGCCTGCTGTCTTTGCCATGGTAGGCGCTGGGTTTGCTTGCCATGATCAATGTCCACTGACATACAGGAAGCCATCAGGAAGCTGGTTTGCAAGAGGGAACGGAAATCGATTGCCAAAATTCAAAGCTCTTAGTGCGAGCGTTAAACACTTGAGCTGTGCCAAGATTTGAGTTTCAGGGGGATCATTCAAGTCTACGGCGCAGTCTGGCAAGTCGAGTTAAATTGATTTGTTCGTTGTTGTATAATTGAGTTTGCCTTCTATGCTGGGGTTCCTCTCAAGCTAGCATTGTATATGCAGGTGGGAACAGCCTTGTTGTACAATATGGCATGAAGGGTGGATCCGGTCTGAATTTGCAATACGCCCGTTGAAGGCAACCGACACAAACTGAGACGAGCTCTGACCCTTTGGAGCATGCAGGTGCCATCAGCATGCTGTCCGGCTTTTGCCGCATGACCGTCTCCCTTGTGGTGATCATGTTCGAGCTGACAGGCAACCCGGTGCATGTTGCAATCCTGAAAATTCTGGGAGGTCCAAAGCCACAAGTTAACTGGAAACTTAGTGTAGCTGATGACAACTAGTGCTGCTGTTGATTGGCTCTGGTCACTCTCTCTTTGTGTGTGCTGGCAGCGTGGGGGGCCTGCTTTAGCACGCACGATCCCCGTACACGTGCAAGGTTTCTACGTGGCCGACGAACCCTCTAAAGGCTTCGTCGCCCACGTAGAAAACGTGCACAGCGCCACAGCGAGAGAGCTTCGACAGAGGGTTCATCCCGCCGCCCGCCGATCCTAACCCCGGCCAAAATAAACTAATAATAAAAACAACAAGTTTAAAGAAAGTCTAAAGAAACCATAAAACAGGGGACACAAACAGAAGCAAGTTCAACGAAAGTGCTCTGCGCGAAAGAGAAGAAGTTAATAGCAAGGCTGCCCGAGGCAAGGCTGCGCCCCGCACACCTGCGCAGAGCAAGGGCTGCGCTGGTCAGAGCTCAGCACAGCTTATGTTGAGATGCGTGGTGAAGCCTATGTTGAGACGTGCTACAACTAATAGGTGCAAGTGCCAACCTGACACGAGTTCAGGCACTGGTGGGGCGACAACCCCTGAGACACGCTATGAAGCAAGACTATGTTGTACGCTTGTGGGAAAAGTTTGAAGAGCTTGAGATAGACTGGCAAAAGTATTGGATTCTTATGTTATGGCACGCGTGCGTGTGTGGGCACGCGCACGTGCATACGCACGTGCGTGCATGCCTTCGTGCGTTCGAGCGTGCTTGCGTGTGGCCCACATCAAGGTTTTCGTGCCTGTATGCCATAGCGCGACTTTGCTTTGCGTTTGCGAGCCAAGTCCCGCAGTAGAAGACAGCAAATCGTAAACTCTTCCACATATTGGCGGAATGTCTCGCTTCTGCAGTGGGGAGGTACAGCATGCTAATCTGGGTCGGCTGAGCGCGTGTTTGATTTGTTGGTTTGCCAGTTTGCTTGTCCGTTGTGCCCGTTTGTCCGTCCCTCCAACTGTGTATGCGCTGAGTCTGTTTGTGCCGTGGGTTGCTATCTTGGTTTAGGGTTTGGGCGCAGCGAGTAGGCATGTCAGCATGGCACAGAGTTCAGTCAGATCATGGGTAGGCCCTCCGCCAAGTAGGCAGCTGTGTTGTACCTCGTGGTTTAAGTTGTGAGTACTCGCAAAATATGTCTCTGTCAGAGTGCAGTCGTTCGCAAGCGTAGGCTGCAGCTGCCCATTCTTGAGCCTCAGTAAGAATCTTCATCAGCCGCCTGCCATATTGGGCCGGGAGGTCACAAAAAAAACAACTGGCCTGTTGGAAGAATACGAATCGTGACAAAATGGATAACATTCTTGCGAAGGAAACCTGCACTTCTTTCAGGCGAGCTGAACTACATTGTGCCCTTCATGTGTGCGGTGCTGGCAGCAAAGCTGGTTGGGGACATGATGACTCCATCCATTTACGATGCTCACGCAAAGCTTAACGGCTTCTTGGCCTGGACAGGAGAACTTGGCCCATTCACCTTTTGCCCAGAGCTCATGCGGAACACTTTGTCAGAACTTGGTTCGCCTTGTGGTGGCTCCGCCGCTCCGCTGAATCCTCCAAGGTAACCACAGTGCAAGGAGGTTTGTAGCTGTGTGCCAATCTTTGCGGCTTCCCAAAGCAAAGGCACGCCGTGCTTCCTTGGAGAGGCATAGACAATTTGGCCACCGAGGCTACATCCCGGTCGAGGATCAAGCTGCCATCCGCATCTCGGCAGAACCCAGGTGCAACGGGTCTTTGATCAGGCATGCCGTCTATTTGCTTTACATAGAGCCATGACATAGGGGGCTATTGGATACGTCATTGACTTGGCCATCCAACGCCCAGCTTCAGTTGCATTGGGAACCCCGGATCAATAACCCCCTGCTTGAGTAATAGTCCCCCTCAGTGGCGATTCTTTCCCCGTGTTTGGAGGGGCCAACCTCTGAATAGCACGCACTCAATCTGGGGCATGACCCCTGGCATGAGCTCTGAGCTTGGCAAAGGGGGCGATCTGAGGATTTGATACGGTCCTGGCGGATCTTTGCAAGCCAAGTAGCGGCCTCAGATCCTCAGATCCTCAGAGCTGGAGAGTCCCGAGTGCTTGGTCATGTCCTTGTTGACCCAGAGGCGGCCCAGGCGAGTCGGCGAGTTTGGCCAGACATCGACCCTGGTTGGTATCATCTGCCACCATCCAACTCCGCTTTCACCCAAAACCCGGCCCCCCCCCCCGCAGGCGAATTCGTTTGGCCAGAAATCGAGTTTGGTTTGCCCGGGTCAATCATTTGCCATCATCTCTTTTCCCAAAAGGACGGGTATGCTCAGGCAGCTCCTACTTCAGCTCCGTGAAAGCTTTTGTGGAGGCCCTAGGTGTGCCCGAGTCTGACGTGGCGGTGCTCACACCCCAGGCCGGATAGAAGTGGGCTTGATGTCGGCGTGGGCGAGTGGGCGCCGAGCAAAGAGAGTGCTTAAAGGGGAAGGTACGTCAGGTAAGTGGTTAGTAAACGTAGCTATAACCTTAGGAGACTCATAAGCTGGCTTCTGTGGGCTTTAGCCATGGTGATTACCTGATTAAGTACAATGTCCCTTTAAGTACTGCCATTCAGAAAACCAAGTCGTGAGTCGTGACTGTTGAAACGCAAGTATCGCAGGCCGTTTGCGCTCGAGTTGCTTTTCAGTGCCCCCGTCAGACCTTGGCCAGTTGCACCAATTTCCCTTGGGCCAGCGAATTGATTTGAAATTATTTTGGGGTTGTCATCTCGAAACGAGGCTCTAGGTGTGTTTTGTTGGACATTCTGTTGGAACCAACCGTATTGTGATATTGACGGCCCCTTTGTGCGACGCATGTTGGACACGAGCCTCCAGCAAATTTATTTGTGGAGCCTAGCAGGTATGTCGGGCTGCAAATATGTTTGAAGCTGGACATTTTGTTTGACTGCAATCTTTCGCTGAGAGGCTCCGCTGCTCACGGCGTACTGCGGCTTGGCTAAGATGCTGATTGGCCTCGGCGGATGTGCCGATTCGGCCTCAAATATTTTCCATTTGCTGAAATGAATGTGCTTTTGTTTTCCGCTGTTAGTAGGAATCTGTCACTACTGGATTTTTTTTCCGGGTGGCTTAAGCAAATGGAAGATCTTCATGTTTGAACTGGGCCTGTGGCGTAGCGTTTTTGGATGTGGTAGCGGACACTGCTCAAGATTCATCTCTGACACAGTGAAGATTCAAGCACGACACTGTTGATGCGGCAAAAAGTGTCTATACTTTGTGTGTATACATTTGCACAACTGTGCCACCCAACCCCAACTCACTTAGTCTAACAACTGGACACAGAGCGTCACGCTCAACCTTGAGGCTTGCTTGGACATCTTCCAGCTTGTAAGAATAGCGCCTCTTCAGTTGAATCCGACTCTCGGTTTTGTTTCGGCTCAGTAGCTTCGCATTTGGTATCGGTGCAGTCTGTGCTTGTCCCGATTTCTTCGAGGTCCCTGCAACATTGTGCTGTTCCCTCGAAGCTTCCTGCTATTCTGCCATACCTTGCTTCATTGGCATTGACTCGACGAGTTTGCGTTTGTCTTCACGCAGGGTTTCCACCAATCATGAGGTTGGCAGGAGAAACTGGGATCTAACTTCAGAGCCACTGCGTGCATTCCTGCAAGAGACAAGAGACTATTGGGAGAAGCCACCTACCAACCGGTGCAGATCTTCATCCACCGTAGTGGGGCTCAACATGGAGACCTGTATGGTTATTGAAATGGCTTTGCCTCTCAATAGGGAACTTTCTATCGGGTGGCTTCCCCTTATGCGTTTGCTTCAAGACACAACCCGAACAACAACCAGAATGTGAGGACATACGATATAATTCTATATTGGCATATATCAACCAATATCCAGCCACTACATGGATATTTACCCTTGGAGGCATTCATTTTTTTTGCGGATAGCGGAAAGCCTGGCTTTCTCTGCGCAGGGAAGTCCATTTTGGGTTGGTTTAAAAGCAAAGCAAGAAGAAAAGCATCATTTTGGAGATCCCCCAAACAAAAGACACGCCCATATGGATCCGTAACAGGGGATTTCTCACATATTCCAGGTGCATTTCAGCACAAGCCGGAGCTGCAGTACTGCATTTGCGCTGAAAGCCGGCGATCGGGAAGGAGCCTTTCCGGGAGGAAGAGTGAAGAGCTTGGATCGAAGGTTTGGATGTAGGCGTAATTTGAATGGGTCCCGGAGCCGATATGCCCTGATTAGAAACCTCTGGTTCATCAGCAGGGCCCTTTTAGCGCTTTGAGTATCTTTGAGTCTTAGAGTGATTCCTGTATGTGTTTTTTTTCCTGGGTTCCCTTTAGATCAGCTTCCTTGGTTGTTAGGCGGGGTTTCATGTCCAACCACTTGTGAGGTGGCTCCCTCTTATGTTCATATGGTCATGGGGCATGGGTCAAAGTTAAACCACTAGACCGCAGGCCATGGGTCCATGTGTCCACTTACCAGGGTTGCATTTTGGGTACCTACTGTGGATGGATGAAATCTTGCACCACCTAAGAATCCCTCAAATGATGATGTCCCTGTAAATACCATCAAACAATGGCTTTAAAGTGGTGCAGGATTTCGTCCATCCACAGTATGTTTGACCCACAGCTATGTCGCGTTGTTAAGATTCCACCTGCCAATTGTTGGGCACTGCCCACGCAGGTTACTGGCGTTTGACATAGATAGTTCAGCGCGAAGTGGTCCGCTGAGCAGATTTGTCGTTCATGGTGATCTCATGTCGGGAAGATTGAGATCAAACTCAACATTCCCGACCGCGGCTCAAACAAATATGACCGCCGGCGTTTGTTTCGCCCTAAAAGCATTTTGTCACGCCAACGCCAGTCTCGGCCCGAGCGCCTCCCAGACGGTGGGACGGGGTCAGCTGATCGCCGGGTGTTTCGCTCATGGATTCGCCCACTTGGATGGAGAAGCCGGTGCCCATGAGCCGATGGTCTGGCATCTTGGCACCGGCTGCAGCTGAGATGGAGGCCTATGGTGATTTGGGCTACATGCAGATCGTGCCCTTCGGTGGCCCCCTCCTCTGCCCGCCCGAGCTGTTGTCTACTTCATGCTCCATCACTGTGTACAACATCATGATCCACCAGCACGACGGCATCCTTGTTGCTCACCTCCTGGAGGACACGCAGTGGTTTGAACACGAGCAGCCCCACATCGCGCACTTCCGGCGGATGAAGGAGGTCTGTGCTGGCATGGGTGGCATTGCCATTGGATCTCGCCACACAGGCGTACAATCGGTCGCCCACCTGGACCAGAACGAGCTAGCCTGCTCCCAGCTTCGAGCAAATGGTGCGAACAACGTGATCAGGGGCAATGTCTGTGACAACGCCCACATCGCGCAACTACATGCTGCAGGAGGACCTCAACCTGCAATTCTGGCGGCTGGCTTCCCGTGCCAACCATACTCTCGACAGGGAGATCAACGTGGAGAAAGAGATCCCAGATCAGCGGTCTTTGGGGCCACCTTGAAGGCCGCATGGCTCACCCAAGCTTCGGCGGTCATCCTGGAATGCGTTGCCACGGTCCAGAACCACAGCTTCATCATGGACAACCTCAACTACCTAGCTGGTCTCAAGAACTGGCAGGTGAAGACCACCATCCTCTCGCTGCATCACCAATGGCCAGCGCGCAGAGACAGGTGGTGGGCGATTCTCGCTCCATCCACCTTCAACCTGGAGAGCTTTCAAGCCTGGCCCAATGCCAACATTCTCACAACTGTGGAGCACGTGATTCCTAGCTGGCCAATGTGGACGAAGGAGGAGGAGCAGGCACTCCTGCTCACCGATCGCGAGCTTGATCTCTACACCAACCCGGTTTTTGGTGAGGAGCTTCGTCTACTACAAGTTTCAGCTCCTGCTCCAACGATCCTCCACTCCTATGGGAACGCGCTCTCGAAGTGCCCATGTGGCTGCCGCAGCCAATCCTTCTGCATGGATCGCCTTCTTCAGCAAGGCCTTCGTGGCTACTACGTGCGATCTCTCATCCACGGAGCACCCAGGTTCCTCCACACCAAAGAGGCAGCCCTTCTTCACACGGTTCCACAAGGCATCAAGTATGTCGGGCAACCCCGTGATGGACTTTGTCTCCTCGGACAGGTGGCTGCACCGCTACAAGCCCTCTGGGTTGTATCACATCTTGTGAGAGCTGTGCAGGAGGCCTGTTGCTGGACGCCACTCTGCAACCCCGTTGACCTCATCACCCAATACAAGGAAACCCTCCTACTTGAACGACACCACCTTTGGATCACAGAGGAGTCACATGCCACTAGGCACATCCACATTCTCGACAATCACCAGCTCTACATCAACGTCCTTCGTGAGGGACACCAACAAGTACATGATCTACTTGCTGCAGAAGCTCAACTTCATGGAGAGCAATCCATCTCGCTTTGGGATGGCCACATCAGAGTTCCGCTGCAGGCCACGCTTCAGACGCAAGGCAGGTATGGTCCATACCGTCTGCATCGGGAACCACAATACACGGCTCAAGGCCACCATGGCCCTGGACTTGGGGACGCACACATTGAAGGAGAGCTTCGCACCATTTCGCACCACCACGGTGAACTCAATGGAGATCCTATTCACTTCCTGCCACCGCTTCTGAGCTCGTTCTTCGCTCAACAACCTGAACTCCCTGCTGGACATGAACTTTGGCAACAGATCCCTGACCGCACCTGCCCACTCTTTGCCATCTACGCCTACGATGACCACTGGGCAACTCTTGCCTGTTTCCCGCAAGAAGGGGGCTTTCATGCTCTTCTACTTGATGGGCTGCCTGGACGTGGATTGCAAGGCGGACTTCACCTTGTCAAAACTATTGCCAATGCCTGGCAAACAACGTGCCTCTCCATCACCCCCATCAACCACTACCGACAGGAGGACGACTTCACTTGTGGCACCATTGCCCTTGCTCACCTTGCAACATGCCTGGACCTCTTCATCTACGACTCCATCTTCGATGCCCATTTTCGCATCCTCTCACAACATGGAGGACCCACTGAGCACACTGCTCCCACTGGTCCAGCAACCACCGACAGCACAATCCTTGAACAACTCATCCCACTCCTTGTCGACAAAGGAGTACCTCCTGACCGAGCACATGACCGTGCTCTCCTGGCCACTCGCAAGCTGGGTACCAAGGACCTCCAAGCCTCGCTCAACAGCAAGAACCCTTGGGCAGCTCTCAAAAGCCTTGCGTCACAACCTGGCAACAACTTCCTGTGGCTACGTCATGAAGAGCTCATGCAGAAGGTCAAAGCAAAAGGCGAGCAGCGCTTTGGCATTGAACCAAGGAAGAAAGGCAAAGCTACTTCCTCGACACCGAAGCCACCACTTCAAGTATGCCCTGGTGATCTGCAGATCATCTCCGGCTCCTTCCTTGCTGAAGACGGTACACACATACCGCACATTTGCTTTGACCGCATCGGCAAGCGCGCGGGCCTTGCCTTTGCCACGGTTGCAGAGATGGTTCCTTACCTCAAAGATGACCAACCACTCTATGATGGCCCTCTCGCAGTCTTGACAACCACCTGCGTTCCACAGGAGCAAATTGGCCTCTTGCCGGTGGAGCATCTCGTCTACCCAGCCATGCACCAACCCACTCAGGAACCAGTCTTGGTGCAAGGCAGCCTCATCCAACTCGGGCAAGTTCGGGTCAATCGCGAGCAGCACAAGAATCGTCCCAGCATTGTCTCCACCGACACCTCCACCCTCAAGCTACAGGTCTTTCGGGACCAATGGCCTGGAGACTGGAGCGACTTTGGTGCTGGACCTATGAAAGCAGTACTGCAACAACAACCAGTGCTCACTCTCTGCAAAAGCGTTGCCTGCGGTGAAGCATGTCCTCGCTACCACATGCCGGTAGATGAGGAACAGATCAACGCCATCATCATGGACCTCTGGAACAGACAGTGGACCAACCAACGAGGCAATAGAGCCACAAGTGACACTGCCACCACCTGGAGTGCCTCGATTCGAGTCCCGACCTTCGCGGCAGACACCATCATCAGCTGCTCAGGTTCGTTTGGGATCTACTTTGACCCTCGTGACAGCTCAGGCAGATCACCCTCGGAGGCCTATGGCATCGTTTGGCTCAATGGCATCTCCCTTCAGGAGGCCATGCACAAGAAGAAAACCACGGACAAGGCCATTGCCATCACCCGATTCCAGGATCGCTATGGGATCCGCTTCCCACACACCGCGCTTCCTGAAGCGCACCAGAAGCTCAAGCCGGACGAACAATATCTCGAAGTCAAGATCGTGGACATCTACACACTTCACCCGCTTCCACGAGGAACACAACGCAATGGCCTGATCAAAACTCTGCGATCCTGGGCATGGAAAGCACGACCACTTCAACCTGCTCGTGGTGATGCCGCTGGGGCTGCCTGGGAAGTCGGTGCTGAACACCCTCCTCCTCAATTCGTCATGCAGAGCACCCACGGTGATGTCACTATCACCAAGCTACGCTCCGCTAAGCAGGACGCTCATGCCCAACCAGTTGTCGCCTCCAGCAAAACGCAGCAGTTCCTGAGAGGACAAATCACCTCAAAAACCACCACCACAGATCCATGGACCACTGGCCCTGACCCTTGGGCGAGCTGGACACAGAAGAGTTCAGGTGCTTCCTCATCTGTCCCCACAACAGACAAGATCCAGCAGGTCGAACAACGCCTTCGCACGGACATCCAGTCCACCATACGCAAAGAGCTCGAGGACTTTCAGTGGAATGGCCACCAGGACATGGACACTGGTGACATGAAGCCCACCAACTCAGACAACCGCATTCAGCAGCTCGAGGCCAATGTTGCCGAACTCAAGCACCACCACATTCGCTACGAACAATGGTTCAATGATGCCGCTGCAGCCAACCAGCACACGCAGGTTCAACTGCAGGAGCTTGCCCACACCGTTCAAAACCAGCAGTCGGAGCTCACCACACTGGGGCAGCACGTCTCTCAACAGGGCGTTCATCTTCGTGAAGACATGGCCAAAGGCTTCGCCAATCTTGAGGGACTTCTGCAAAAGAAGCATCGGACAGAGTGACTAGGTCGCCCCGGGCTTGGGCATGGCGCATCCCAAGTGCTTTCTCTCCCCAGGCGCCACCTTCG